TTTTTTGGCGGGGTTCTCCTAGTACAATTCACATTCCGGGGCCTAAATATCACTTATTGGGGTCACTTCAATCTGCTGAGAAATCTTGCGAAATCACCGACAAATGCTCAATCTCGAGCATTTGTCGGTGATTTCGCAAAACCTGTCGGCGAGTGATAAATCGGGCTAAAATCGTGCAGTGTGAACTCGGCATAAGGTTTGTCCAAGAAGTCACTAGATTTGTCGCTAGTCGCTTTTTTGGAAAAAAAAGTCGCCAAGGGCTCTGAAAAGCCGCTAAATCTAGCGACAAAGTCGCTAAATTGGCAACACTGGACAGGGCATCACAATATGGTAAGGGGCGTAACATTTCCGTCACACGCTTGAGGTATTCAGCCAATCACAGCACACCTCGCTTTTCAGAACGATGAGCTTTGTAAAAATGTTTCAAAACGTGTTTCAGAAAGGCGGGGCATAGAGGAGAAACAATAATGTACAATATGTGGAAAATAATGTTTTTTTTTTTTACTTTAAACCGCATAAACACATTTCATTACACCAAATACACAAAATAATGTTCTTTTTAGCAGCATCATATGATCCCTTTAATGTATGATTTCAGATGGCTGGAATATAGCACGAGTCATATAGACTACTTTGATGGTAAATGATGACAAAATGTACATTTTTAGGTGAACACAAGTTCAGAACAACTCTTGAAAGGGACTGCTCAATTAGTCAAGTAGCAGCCTGTATATTTTAGCTCCCTGTGTTCTGGACAGCTCCTTATCCCACTGCAAGGGGCTTAATCAATAAATCGTTGGCTGAGATTACAGGATAGCATGAAAAATAGATATGCAGAGAAGAGGAAAGTCTAAGGGGGAGGAGAAAGGTATCACACATGTATCTTTCCTTATGGAAACACTCTCTCACATGCAGAATTCTCCTCTTTAACTGTGTTTATTTATAGCCTCTATCTACAAACACATCTCGGATGTGACACTCACAGCATCTGCATTCAGAGCACTCTCACTGACCCAGATGCAGCATGAGTGCTCGCTGCCAGCAAAATCAAAGCCCGCACAATACAACCGCAGTCTAATCTATTAGAAAAGAGCTAGCGATACTACAGAACCACAAGGTTGCCTTTCCATAATCTATTCTGCGGCATCTATTACATAAAAATAAGACAAAATGGGATGAAAAAGACAACTTGTCTTTTGCAAGATGGTTGAGATAAGGACAGCTCATTATCAGAGCTCAGCTGTGTGTGTCTCTTCGATAACATTGAAAGGTTTAGCTGAAGAGCTCCTCTTCATTAGTATATGTGTGTGGTGCAGTGCTGCAGGCTCTGGAGAGGATGTGAAATGAGAGAAAATGCTGATGTTTTCTATTATTTATAAGCATTTCCCACATAATGTGCGTGTGTGTGTCCATGAATCTGGCCGGTTTTAATGCAGTACTCTCAGCAGCCTTCCCCCCCAGTGAGTCCCATAGTGACGTGACAGGTATACGCAATTTCTGCACTACCACCAAACAGTTTTGCTAAAACAACTGTTTCTAAATAGGTTTTCTAAACTCTTCCTCCATCTGTCATTGGTCAAAAAACTGGGGCCCAAACTCACATCACTAGTTAAAGAGATAGTTCACCCAAAAATAGACAGTTCACCCTCCCATAGACAGCAAGGATCCTAACACGATCAAGGCTCAGGAACGTAGCAAGGAGATTGTTAAAATAATCCATGTTACATCAGTGGTTCAACCATAATTTTATGAAGTTACGAGAATACTTTTTGTGCGCAAAGAAAACAAAAATAACGACTTTATTCAACAATTCATCTCCTCCGCATCATGCTATAGCGCCATTTTGGAGAGTATCACATACATAAACAACATATGCTGTTCTGTGTCAGCAGCACCATACGCGGATACGCTGTTTACGTTTTGATCTGAATGTAAACAACGTATCCACGTACATACGTTGCATACGTTTACGTATGTGATACTCTCCAAAATGGCTCTATAGGGTAATGCAGAAGAGACGAATTGTTGATTAAACAATTCCCTTTAAGCCAGAAGTTGACATGTCGAAAGGCATGGAAATAAACTGTTTCTCTGTCATTTGGTTTTTATTTCTCGTAGCATTGCCAATGTAATCCCATCCACACTTGAGTCTCATTGGTTCAAAATCCTGCTCCACATAAATGTATTTTAAATATCTATGTTCTGATTGGTTGTGATAGTGTTGCATCGTGCAGCATTTTCACTTTCAATGTGGACAGACAAATTATTTGTCACTGAAAACTTGCCATGTAGTGCCTGGATAGGACATGGTGTACCACCATAAGAACTTAGATGACAACTTCGACAACAGCAGGAAGGCTGGTTACAGAAGTGTAGGTCCAGTAGCACTGTCATAAACAGCCCCAAGAGGAAACCTATGAACTCTATATAGAGTGACTGCAGTGCAAATAAACTGTGGACGCAGGGATGAGGGTGATTGGCTCTCAGCTTTAATATGATTACTATTAGACTGCTGATGGCTATTAATATAATGATGACGAATGTCTTTTGAAGTTTCGCTTATTAGACGCACGAACCAAGAGATTAAAGCGAGAGATAGAAGGACAGAGATATAGGACACAGGAAAAGGCTTTTAGTGACTGTTCATGTCTCTATAGCTATTTTATGACACAGCAAACTGTGTGACAAAGACAAGTAGGAGATGTGTTAATCATGCCTGATTCGTTTGGCAATATCCATACGTGGGCTATTTTAGGTCTTATGATCCCGTTTTACTTTCTACTCGCACCCGTTTAAGTTTCTTTTTTCCTATTCTAACTTTTTCTTTCTGACTGTGCTAAATCTGTCCTCCTTAGTTCATTCAACCAGTTATGCTGCCTTCAAGTCCTGCTGGGAAGTTCCTACTTATGGGTTCGGAAGTCGTAATTACTACATGATATGCATTTAAGTGATTTTGGTCAGAATAAAGAGTTCGGCAACTTCATAGATTTTTCTCTTTTTTACTTTCTTGCAATGACTTGATGCTTTGTCACTAAAACAAAAAAGAAAACGAAGAACAAAAATGTAAATTAGATGTGTAATTGATGCTTTGTGTATAATTTTCTCACTACCACAGAAAATGGGAATAGTAGTATAGCTCAGGAAGTCTATTGCCTCATAAACAAGCTAAATAAATCAAACTTTATGGAAAGTTTTATTGCTGTTTTTCATCAACTCTATATGTGTATAAATTCCATCCATTCATTTTTCAGAACGATTGTCCTATGTCGGTTTGTGGAAGTGCTGGAGCCTATTCCAACATATTTGAGATTGGATGCATATAGAGTCCAGGGGTCTGCTCCAAGTGGGCCACCTTCCAGGAGAATTTAGCTTAGCCTCAAATAAAAACCTCCAAACCAGAAAATCAAGGTCTTTAGTATCACTAGAAATTTCAAGGAAGGTGTTAGAGCTAAACTCTGCAGGACGGTAGCCTTCAAGAAGCAGGATTGGACACCTTAGTACTAATCTGTACATTGCAGGGTTAACACTCTCATGCATTCACACTTTTTGAATTGAGGAGAAAACCGGAGCACCCAGAGGAAATTCACTCCAACACGGAAAGAATACACAAACGGGACCTCCAAGTCAGGTCTCAAATAAAATCATTTTTTTCTATTGGTAACTACAGCATTGTGGTGCCCTTCATGTCTTGTGTGATCAACCCTACATGACTTGAAGGCAGCATCACAATAATTTGTCTAACAACCCAAAGAGAAGCCCTGGTTACGTTATAAATGATTTCCTCTTGTGTAACTGATTGCATCTGCAGAACACTATCGATGAATCAAAACTGGCACATGCAGTATTCACCATTGTCAGCACAATGTCTTCCAGGATTTACAATGATTATGGTCTGATACTCCTGAAAGATGCAGTTTTCCAGTCTCAATTCATCAGGGATGATGTCGGCGCTACTGATCCGAGATCAGATCTATTGCTTGTTCTGTGGAGTATGTGGTAATAGAAGGGTACTACAACTCACGGGCTGTCACAAACTAGATAGACAAGTGTTTCTCAGCCCTGTTCCTGGTGGCACATTAATAGTCCACATTTTTGAACACTTCCTAATAAAGCACACCTGATTCAACACATTACTAGAGCCTCCAAGACATACAGATAAGTGAGACGTATTGAATTGCTTTCTTTACACACTTCTGGCTCAACCATACTCATGAGTTTGAGGAAGAACTTCTTGAGCAATGGTGGACAAGCTGTCAGACTTATAGTTTTGGCAGGCTCTAAATTGGTACTTGGACAAATCTAGGGACCAGAATATCATGGAAACCTGGAAGCTAAGTTTTTTTTAGAAACCACCAGAACACCCAAGCAAGCAACTGCAAAACCACCACCCACACAAACTTTTGCAACTTCATTTGGTGTGCAAAAATTACTCATAGCAGCTTTCAATAGTGAGCTTTGTGGGTATGTATGTGAACAAGACATACAGATAAGTGAGACGTATTGAATTGCTTGAGCAATGGTGGACAAGCTGTCAGACTTATATTTTTGGCAGGCTCTAAATTGGTACTTGGACAAATCTAGGGACCAGAATATCATGGAAACCTGGAAGCTAAGTTTTTTTTAGAAACCACCAGAACACCCAAGCAAGCAACTGCAAAACCACCACCCACACAAACTTTTGCAACTTCATTTGGTGTGCAAAAATTACTCATAGCAGCTTTCAATAGTGAGCTTTGTGGGTATGTATGTGAATATAAATTGGGGGCTCGTCCGGTATTGCTGGTACCTCTCTCCACATTCATCTCAGCTGTCAGACATGTTATAATCGAACAAAAGAAACTGCCATGACTTCTTTCATTGGAGCTGATTTTGTTCCCCAGCTTACGCTTTACAACTGCCATCTACCATATCGCTTGAGAACAGAAATGCATTCTGCTGTTGATTAAATCCGTAGACCTTTTATTACCTGGACGACTCACAATGCCTGCTTTCTCTCTTAGGTATGTGTCTGGTGTTGGGCTGTATGATATATCCTGATGGCTGGGATGCTGATGAGGTGAAGAGGATGTGCGGAGAAGGGACGGACAAATACACCATCGGAGCATGCTCAGTGCGCTGGGCGTACATCCTGGCCATTATGGGCATCTTGGATGCCCTTATTCTCTCTTTCCTGGCTTTTGTGCTGGGCAACAGGCAGGATGGACTCATGTCCGAGGAGCTGCTGGGAGACAGTAAGATTAACATTATTTTGTCTAAAAAATAGTTATTCCATGTCTTTGTCATGCCTAAATGTCATGTCTTACCATGGGAGAATGCAGACGTACCTCTGTCAACTTGAGTTACTGTTTTTATTTATGCAAATAAATAATTGAAAGATTGTTGGACAATAAGAGGTTATACACAATTCATATATTGTTCAAAACAAAAAATACAAATAGAAAAACGACTTGATATTTGGTCCCTTTGACGAAAACCCTATTTGGTTGTGAAATCTAAGTGTTATCGCTACTTGATGATCTGCTACTTGCTATTGTTAGTCAGTTGCAAGTGATGTAAGGGGAAGGACAGTGTCATTAGTATAGAACAAATATTTGTATATATATTTGGCCTGTTTTCAGAAACAGTATGTTGGTAAACTTTTAAGTGTACAGACATGGGGCCAAAATTTGAAGCAATTGCATACTAAACAATTTGTGAGTATTACCAAATGACAGGAATATTTCACCCAAAACTGAATATTCTGTCATTAATTGCTCACCCTCATGTCGTTCCAAACCCATAAGACCTTTGTTCATCTTCAGAACACAAATTAAGATATTTATTTTTGATAAAATCTGAGAGCTTTCTGACCCTGCATAGACAGCAATGCAACTGACATGTTCAAGGCTCAGCAACGTAGTAAGGACATTGTTGAATCAAGTCATTATTTTTGTTTTCTTCGCGTACAAAAAATATTCTCGTAGCTTCATAAAATTAAGGTTGAACCACTGATGTCACATGGATTATTTTAACGATGTGACGATGTCCTTACTACCTTTCTGTACCTTGAACGTGTCAGTTGCGTTGCTGCCTATGCAGGGTCAGAAAGCTCTCGGATTTCATCAAAAATATCTTAATTTGTGTTCCGAAGATGAAAAAAGGTCTTTACAGGTTTGGAACATACGGTGACCGGGAGGTGACATGTTCAGTTCACTTAGTTTTGTCGTGCCCACAAGATATTAATTCGTGGGAACGTCATATTAACTCGTGGGAATGTGATATTATGTCGTGGCCACAAGATCATTTTGTCAAGGTAACGACATCCTTATGTCCTGGCCACGCGATGCTATGTTGAGGGAACGACATCCATTTCTCGTGGCCACGAGTTTAATGAGTAAACAAACCTGCGTGACCATAGCAACCCGGGATTATCAGAGATGGATTCATTAATATTTTATTTTGAATTAAGAAATTATTATATAAATTATTATAGAAATGATTAAATTATTATATTAACCATAGGCCTTGGCTACCGGACTGTATTACATGCGATAGTCAGCATTCAAATGAATTTTATCATGAATAAATGTTACATAAAGTGCATAATATAAAATAGGCCTACAAGAAAACATTTTTATCCATCCTAGTCTTGTAAGTCCATTAACTGATCGTCTTTTTCCCATTATATTTGTATATTATTATTAGCCTATTATTATTGGTTATATTTTTATATTAGTTTATATTCGTTTTTCCCTTCCTTTCGATCTCTTTACTTAACGTTCTGAATACTTTATTAAATAATAGCCTACTGTAAATGCTCGACATGCCAATAAAGCTTTGATTTTGCTGACTGGAATTTTTACTGGAATGCAGTTTAAATTGAACATATATTTCATTTTATTTCGGCTAATTAATAGACCATAATTATAAATACTATAGTGTTTCGTTGAGGAATTAATCATTCATGTAGTTTCAGTTGTAAATGAAAACACATCACGCTCATTTATCATCACACACGGGCATAAATACAATCATAATCTCAAAACTTTATTGGCATAATTATCAGGCATTTGCAGTATTTGCAAAATATATGGTAGGCTAGCAAATGCTAGCATAATTATACAAAACGTTAACTAGGTAAAGCAATACACAAATTGAAAGGGGAAATAAGCATATATAACAATAAATATAAAAATATAGCTCTAATAAGTTAATGTAATAATAATAATAATAAACAAATATTAAATTAAATGTTTAATGTTAATAAAAATATTTTATCCATCTCCGATAATCCCGGGTTGCTATGGTCACGCAAGTTTGTTTACGCATATGTCATTCCCTCAACATAAGAAGAAGTCGTGGCCACGAGAAATGGATGTCATTCCCTCAACATAGCATCGACATAAGGATGTCATTACCTCGACAAAATGATCTCGTGGCCACAACAGATCACGTTCCCACAAGTTATTATGTCGTGGCCACGACAAAACAAAGTGAACCGAACATGTCACCTCCCGGTCACCATAGGAACGACATGAGGTTGAGTAATTAATGACAGATTATTCATTTTTGGGTGAACTATCCCTTTAAGGTAACATAAGATGAATTTCAATTATGTTTTGAAATGCTAAAAAAACAAAAAAAAACAAAGAGGTGAAATTAACAAGGAGTGCGCAATCAAACTTTTCTCTGTGAATGAATGCAGAAATGGCCTGGCTAATTGTGTGCATTTCTCATACACATTATATGGTTTAATTATAATCACAAAATGCATAATTTACATAAATGAAAATGAAGAATAACAAACTGGATTCTCCATTTCTCCCCATAAATGTTCCAACACATCAGTTTTCAATGCGCAGCTGTTGTGCCATTCGGTCCAATTCATTCATTACTTGACAGAGCCAGCCAGCCAGAGGCGAGCGAGGACAGACCAGCTTGAGAAAATAAGACAGAGCGATGGCCATTAAGGATAGAATCAGATGATAGGGCTGTGAAAAGAAATGAGATATGAGAAGGAGCGAGTAAGAAGAGGAAAAGAGCAAGTGAAGGAAAGATAGAAAGGTAGAATTTACCATGGACTGGGGTTAATTGAAGCCTGGGGCTCTGGACCCAGCCATGAATTACTAATGACTGTTTACACAGCTTGCTGTCAGCCTGTCCATATTAATCACAGGCACAGCATCAGCTGGAAACCATGCTATGCTGAACAGCACACCTGCAGCAAAACACTATTTATGAATATGAACTATAAAATGCTTCATATAATTAAGTTAAATAAAACAACAAACTACACTTCCAGGACATCCTGGGCCATAATTATTATTTTATATAATGGTAATGAAGGGTCACTTATACGTGTATTAAGGTTTTATATGAAACTGATGAGTTGCACAATGCAAATGGTGATTAAGGATGTTTGTATAATGATGAATGAGCAATTCACCTCTTAATCTTGCAGAAACAGAATTTGTTATGTCATATTTTGTGACGGCACATGATGGTGTTAGTGCCATCTAGTGGAAATTATTGGTTAGGTTTATCCCAGCTTGGTAGTATTTAAGAAAATCAGAAACAAAAGGTCTATTTAATGTGTATTTCTCAACTGTGACAGCTGTCAGTAGTTGATAAATATTTCTGCTGCATTTGAAAATTACTCTATGGATTTAAGCTGCGATTTTGCTTTAAGTTTGATAGATTTTTCTCCTTTTTTCCTCAACAGAAAGTGGAAATGCATAGACGCCAGATACACTCAGGTGAGTGAGTGTTGGTCAGTACGAGTGAGTCTTTACTTTAAAAAATACCATGAAATAGTTTGATGCAATATTTTTGCCTTTTTTGACGTATTTACTACTGAAACGGAGTTAGGCTCAGACATACTCAATATTTAATATAGATGCACTACTGTTCAAAAGGTTAGGGTTTATACGATTACTTAAAAATGTTTTTGATCTCGAAAAGGTCTATTTAGGTTTGTTCCAAAACTGAAATTACACACAGTTGGACTTCAAATGTAAATTTTAAATGAAACGGAGTTAGGCTCATATTTAATATAATATTTAATATAGATGCACTACTGTTCAAAAGGTTAGGGTTTATACGATTACTTAAAAATGTTTTTGATCTCGAAAAGGTCTATTTAGGTTTGTTCCAAAACTGAAATTACACACAGTTGGACTTCAAATGTAAATTTTAAATGGCTTTTTAATTTATTTTTCAATTTCAAAAATTTGCGATATGAAAAATCTGTACGAGTTCCTTTCTTCTGTGAAAGAAAAAAATAATAATTTTGTCCATAGAATGAAAGTCAGTTGGTCCAGTGTTTTTTTTTTAGACCTCGCTGACAACATAATTCTTCAAAATGCCTTATTTTGTGTAGAAATCATCAGAAGTCATGTTAGGAATGACACAAGTTTGAGTAAATTAGACTGTTTTCAGTTTTGAGTTAATTTTTGAAATGATCTCAAGCTTAGCTTCCATGTGTAAATTTCTCCAATGCAATGCTGTGAATTTATAATAAAACATTGCTTTAATCTGTTTTCAGGTGTTTCTGTCTTGTTCAAGGAAAATCATTATATGAAATCACAATCCAGCTTTACCCATCATCCTGAGGGCAGGAAGCCTGACTGCAGCAGTTTGAAAAAACGTTAAAGCGAAGGATGCAAACGGGGTGAATGGAGTTGGGAACTCGCTGCTTTTCTGTCCATATCCCTTCTTTGCACTTCACTCCCTGGAATTGCTTCTCAACAAATCCCTACCCTAGTTTGATTTACCGTGTTCTGTGCTACTAACATGATAGGGCAGTTAATGCACCGTTTAGAAGTAACTTTGACTTGGATTAATAATAATAATAAAAATAAAAAAAAAGTCTTATTTTACATCGTGTCCTTTTTTAAAGGCCTGCATTACAATGTTAATATTTTGGGATTTATGAATTACAGTAAAAACGGTACTGTTTTATTTGACTGGATTCTCCAATATAGAAGAAAACATGTACAGGCTTAAATCGTGGGATGCACACTCCGGCATAGAGCTGCACCACAAAGACATTCCCGGCCTGTTACTTATCCATCAACACCACCCCTGGACGAACAAAAAAAAAAAACCACTGAATCCTGACCACTTACCTGAGAACCAATTTACAGGCAAGTGATAATTTATCGGGTTTCAAAATGTAGTTATTTCACCACAACACTATCCAACATTGTTTAAAAGGGGTATGTAAACAGAAGTTGAGAGTTCACTGTTAATATATTTTAAAAATAAGTGTCAAAATTAGGGGCAGACATCTCTGCCATTAGTAATTGTGCACAAGCCAAGTATATACAGAAGTAGGAGAGTGTTTTAAGTATCATGTATTGAGTGTATATGCTGAATTTCTGTATGTCTCTAATTCGATATTTACTTCTCGGCAGTGTTAGTGCTGTATAGTTATGTGTGCCATAATTATGATGTTCTCAGCTGGTACCGTTTTGTACTCTTGGTATAATCATTGTGTCCCACCAAGATAAATGAACAGCCTAGGATGAAAATCCCATGGGAAAACCTGGAGAATGTGGTTCAAAAAGCAAAAGCCCACAGGAAATGACCTCACTGTGTACCTAGTGGCACTCCCTCCCTTCTCAGACAGCTGAAGAGTTTGGACAATGCTGGATGAAGTTCTGAAGGGAAAGAAAAAAAATGGTTTGCTTTATTTATTGGGTGTCTGTCTTGTCAGATGATGTTGTATGTAGAAAATGCTGTAAATACACCATTAAAATGTATTAGTTATTAAAGTTCATTAAATTCACCCACATTAATGAATAAAGATTTTACCTCTACAGACTACAATCAAGATATTTCATTCTGAGCGTTGCTGTAAAGATCAAACAGTAATATTTATCTTCTTTTCTTTTTTTTTTCCACAGGCCAGTGGTGTCCAATCTTGCTCCTGGAGGGCCAATGTCCTGTAGAGTTTAGCTCCAATACTAATTAAACACCCCTGAACCAACCGATCAAGTTCTTCTGGATTGCTAGAAACTTCCAGGCAAGTGTGTTTTTGGCTGGTTGTAACCAAAATCTGCCATCCAGGAGCAGGACTGGATACCCCAGACCTGCACTAGGTAATACTGACCTGACATCTGCTCAGTCTTCAACATTGCAAAAGTTGCGCATTGTGTTATTGAGAAACGTACAAACATTGGCGGTTATAGCTAACTGTATCTATGCAGCTCTTATGCTCATCTTTCTTCATAACCTTTCTACCTTCGTTCCAGTTGATTATAACCTCTGGCTTGATGTTGATTGGTCATGTAATCTCGCTGCCTTCATTCCGATTGGGCTTCTCAAGTCTGCTTTCATTCTGATTGGTCATAAAACCTCTTTTCCTTCGTTCTGTTCGATCTAAGCAAAAACAGTTTCTTTCAAGCATCTATCAGGTATTAATGACAAAAAACGACTAGGTTTATATTTTCAATGACAACCTTAAGATAGGTCTCAGCAACAGCAGTCTCTTCAAACCTTCATTTCAGCACCTCTTCACACAGTGACCTTCACAGTGAAAGAAAAATTCACATCAGGAACATGTAAACATCAAAAACAGCCCCCTTTCCCGTCTTAGTAAAACACACAAGACATTTGGTTGGTATAAAACTGTCATTACAGTTATTTATTATAATGAACCATGAAAAGAGCCAACCAGTGCTGTGTCTGTGAGCCTCTGTCCATCACACACACATACACTCACACACAAACAGTAAAAAAAAAAATAAACCAGAGAGGAAGAAATAAAAATAGTGCTACAGTCACAGAAACATTCAGCGTTTTTGTCAAGAGCGCTTGTATTTACAACCATATTCCAAAATGGGGATGGGAGCGAATTGTACAAGCATAGAAAAGAAAAGAAGCCAATATTTACAACTGTTTCTGGAGAAAGCTGGAGTAACCACCTATACATTAAATTACACTTTCTACAAATAACCATTGATATTCAAAAATAAACCGCTTACCCCCTACAGGAAGGACCTCTCTTTCTAAAGCTGCCACAGAGAACAGCACGCATCTGTCTGTGCCGTATTTGCCTTCCGTTTCTCATGCGCACTTCAAATATGCGCACGGATACGGGCGGCACGCAAGCATACATGCTCCCTTCCGGTTAAAAACAGACACTCATGCACACAGACTCACTCATTCACACAAGTGCAGTCTCCTGGGGCAGTGAAGCGGCCTATCAGAAAGGTCTCCTCTGAATTTCTGCAGCGGTGCAGATATTTGTGTTACATGGAGGAATAAAAAAAATAATAATTCTGTATTTTTTTCTCTATACAAAACCTTTTTGCTATATAATGAGCCACTAGATAAAACAAATAACTGATGAATGAAAAACAGTGAGAAACGGGAAGAACAGGGAAAGGTAAGGAGGAAACTGGAATGTCCCATTGCATTGCACTGCACTGGGAGGACAGAGGAAGGATTCAACAGGAAGAGACCGGAAAGGGTGATTAAAATGAATAAAAACATTAAAAATAAAAAAAAAGACGTCTGGAAAAGACAGGATGGCAGTACAAGATTATGGGAAGGAGAGAGGTGTGGGGGATTCTGGGTAAGTGATGAGCACCAGGGTTCATTAACCATCATCTTTTACACAGTCTACTTTTACAGTTCTCATTTTTATTTTTAAAATGTACCCTTTTTCCCCCACCGGTTTTCATTAGCCTTTGTGAAAAGGTACATAGAAAATATTTACAGTGGTGCTGTGTTGCCTATGTTACACGATGTAGCCCCCCCACCCCCCTCTGAGTGAGTTTGTCTAGGGGGCGGGGTTAAGTGGGTGTGGTCAGTGCCATCCTGTGCCCAAGTAGCCGGTGCTGTGAAAGGGGGCGGACGAAGGGGTAGGTCCTCGGTTACCACCGGCGATCTGTGAGACGCTCGGATTGGGCGGGGTCTGTGAGGGAGGAATTTGTTGGGAAGGTGGTGGTGGAGGCGGGGGTAATACAGTTTGTTGATAAGTGGAAGGGGTTACTGAGGGGTTGGCTGGTGCAGACTGGTGAAGTAGAGTGGTTTGAAAGCCACCAATAAGGTGAAGCTTGGGGTTGCGCTTTGGGAGAGTGCATGAGCGAAGGTCCAGCATAGTGACTCTGCGAGGCACCGGAGGGCCCGCAGTGGAGCTTGGTGGGCGTCAGTGCGGCTGGTTTGGAGCTCGAAGTCTTGGTGCTGGATTGCTGGACGGACAGTGCCTGAGGCTGAGAAGAACCACGAGACTGTGCTTCACCATCTTCCTCCTTGGATGGTCGAGACACAGTCTGGGGTGCTGGAGAACAAGGCTGTAAATGGAAAGAAAAATGGTTTATGATAACATGAACTTGCTTGGTTGAGAAATCATGTTGCCAAGAAAAAATATTACATTGAGAGAAGGTTCTCTTACTGCATGTGTCAAGGGGCTCTTGCAGCTCTTGGGAGAAGGACATTCCTTCACCTGGGAGTCGCCACCCTCTGACTCTCCACTGTCTGAAAACGAGACAAAGCAGGTATTTTAATATTAAGATTAGAAGATCAATGTTCCCACACATTTTTATCAATGCATTTCCTTGATTTCTCCAGTTGTTTGGGCTAACCTTCTTACAAAGATTAGCTCCAACCTACTGCTCCAGCACACCTGCCTGATTACCTTGAATACCCATTTCATTGTTTAATTTGGGTCTGAGCTAAACTCTGCAGTAAAGTGGTCCTTTAGGAGCAGAATTGGACACCTCTGGGATTATTGGATGAACCTTTTTAAAAAGACTTCCATTTGTATGTCAGGTATCAATTCATGGGTTTTAACAATTATCACAAAAAACAAACAAACATGGAAATCGCAATTCAAAATTCCCTTATGTTTCCAGGGTTGTTTTTACCTGCATCCTTGCGATGGTCACTCAACAACAAGGCCCTATGGTAGCTTCGCTCCCTGGCCTGCTCTACTGATGTTGAAGATGTCCTGTAAATTAAAAGAGAATTGTATATGCTTAAATGTTCTTTTCAAAACATAATTTGCAAAACTCAGCAGGCCCAACTGGCCATCAAACCGTCCAAGATATCTCCACAAATATCTAAAAAGTCACAAGACAGCCTGATTTCTTGATAAGAGTTTTAATCCAAACCTTTAAAAGAATTTCAAGCTGTTAAAGTGTGACTAGTTCATTCTCATGGAAGGGAATACACTTTAGGGACATACCACTGCCCTTCTCCGTCTCTCTCCCCCTGAGGTGGGGCGTCTGGCTCCTCGCTGTGCTGAGGTGTCCTGGGGGTTGGCGTTGCTGTGAGAACAGGTGGCTCAGGGGCCACTTCCACTGCGACAGGGAAAACATCTACTGGTGGTGCTGTGGAAACAGGGGAGCCACACTCTCCCTTGGAACCACTTCGCCGTGCCTCACGCTGACGTTTCCTGTACTCTAGAAGAGACACCTAACAACACAAACACGAGATGTCAGTTAACAAAGTCGAATAAAAGGCATACATATTTTTTTGATCAAATTTATTCCAGCTATTTCCTCAGTTAAGTTTAGCGGACAAAAAAATTGTACATCTATACATCTGTCAGATGCTTTAACAGACCTTTTTCTTCTGCGGGTTCTTTGCAGCACCTCCCTCCCCTGTGCCATCGCCACTCAATGAGCGAGTAAAGTTCACGCCGCTGCTCTCCTCATTGCAGGAATAAAAGGGCGCCGCCTCACTGAAGGGGCCAGCGGAGGTTGAATCCGGCCTATACGCCCCCATCTCCAAGGTGTGAGAAGGGGTGAGGTCTCTCAGATTAGAGTTCACTGGGGAAAACGAGAGGCCACCTCGGTCTGGACTCTTCATCCAGGGAGGGTAAGAGGAGGCTGGTGTCTCGGGTGCTGAGGCAGCTTCTGAACCACCACCATCAACCTCCATGCCTTCATCTACTGCGGCATCCTGGGGCTCAGCATGGGAGGGCTGAGGACTCGGAGACCCCATAGATTTTGTAGATTCCTGTGGACCCGTATCAGAGCCTGCATTTCTCACGCTGGGAGAAGCCAAAAGCGAAGGAGGTCGCTCAACCTGACAAAAGACAGCAAGATCTGTTAGATGTGCTAATGAAAAATGCAGCAAAACACCTCTGCAGCAGGTACAGGATATTTAAGCAGTGAACTCACGTCTTGTGTACTGGGCCTCCGGCTTCCATCTGGAGAGCTGTCCATAGATGACTCACTCTGTGAATTTGCAAAGATATTTCATGATCATTTTGTTGCCTTTAGCCAAAATAATGCTTCAAATCAACACTGCAGAAGTGACCAATCAATTAAAGCCCATCATCACTGGTGACAACCGTCCCTGCTTGGCCAATAGCAAAAGTGTCAGTGCCCTCTTGTGTCAGAACCATAGAGGTCTCATATTTTGGAGATAACATTCATTAAATCTGTGGGCAAAACATTTCCACTACATTTCGCTCAAGATTACTGGATTAGGTTTTAAACGTTTAAGAATCCTTTTAAAGAGACTGCACTCACAAACACAAAATTCTATGGATTAACATTTGAAGTTCATATATAAGTTTTATATATATACTATACATTTTCATTAGGTTTAATTGTTGAATTATCAGGCACGTCTACGGCAACAACCTGACCTCTTGTGGCAGAGGGAGGTTGGGAATCTGCAAGGGTGTTGAGGGCTCAGTACTGGGTTCCTCTGGCCGTGGCCGAGGAGGCGTGGTAAGCAGCAGGGGCGTGCTTGGTGCTTCTGTTGACTCCGTTCGGGTTGGGGTGGCACAAGGAGACCCGTATGGGGTGGAAGTCTCGGACATACAGGGATCGAGTGAACATAAGCGCCTTTTCTTCAAAGGGGTAGGCAACTCTGCAAGCACATGGACCAAGTAAGACTAAGTACAGCTTTAGACAAGCTTTGAGTTATTAATTTGCAGCAGGACATGGACTGCTGACCCACCTGGTAGTGAGCAACTGCCGTTGAGGGGTAGAGGGCTGTAGGACTCGCCGTTTATAGAGGGGCTGAGAGGGCTCTCACTAGGCATCAGCAGAGAAGGGCGCCCTCCACCTGGGCTGGTGGAGCCCTCCTCTTCTAAAGCTTGCTTCAGCCAGCGCTGCACAAAAGAATATCGAGTTAGACCAAAAACTTGCTAGCCTAAATATGAAAACTTGTAAGTGAATATTAAAGAGCTAAAATGTGTGGGATTTTTTTTCCTGCAGTATCAATTGCCAGACAACCATTTTATTATCAGAGAAGCAAAAGTCAATGATACTGGGTGACATTTCTAAATAATGCAGTGATTTTACCTTCTTGCAGGACCCAGTGGTAGGTGGTGTTTCAGGCATTTCTCTCGAGCGCCGCCGCCCCGTGGGCACTCCCAGAGTGCTGGGGCTACGGTTGGCCAGAAAAGGAGATGAGAAGCGGACGTAGTGTTTGGGTGTGCTGTAGACGTGTGAACTGCAGGCCATGCCCGGTAGAGAGTTCAACTGTGTGGCCAAGACCTCAGGATCACTACTGATCCGCAAAGGCCTTTCAGGGGGAGGCTCCGGAGTGCGCGAAGCACCCTGTTCCTGTTTGTCAACACCCATCCACTCGCTCACTAAGTGCTGTTGGAAAAGAGAACATGCAAGTTGTAAAATGCATAACAAACTGCTGTGAAATGCATTCTATGGGTGAAGATTTCTACCTTTTTAGTTTTGAGGTACTTTTGTCCACTGCGGCAAGTTGGGGAGGGTGAGTCGCTGTGGGGTGGGCTGGTGTCAGGGGCATGTATCGGCGGAGCGTCAGCCTCAGGGGCCGAGGGCGACTCTCCATCATGAGTCTCTGTTATTAAGGGCTCTAAAGTGTCACCAGGGGAACTGGGTGGCAAGTCAGAGCAGGCGCTGACCGTTCGCGCTCGCCGCCTCTGCTGTCCGATGTGCGTGCGGTTCCGCGAGAAGCTTTTTCTCTGTTTGTTACGGCTCACCTTTGCTGGCTTCAGACAAGGCTCCTCCTTCACTACCTCTAGCATGGGCTAAAGGTCCAAACATTGAACAATATATTAGTGCTGCCAAAGGATTAATCGCAATTAATCGCATCCAAAATAAAAGTTTTTGTTTACATAATATGTGTGTACTATTTTAATTTATAAATACACACACATACAGTATATATTTTGAAAATATTTACATGTATATATTTATATTCATATAATTTATATTATACATAAATATATTTAATATATAAACAATTTTTTTCTTAATTATATACATGCATGTGTGTGTATTTATATATACATAATTATACACAGTGCACACACATTATGTGAACAAAAACTTTTATTTTGGATGTGATTAATAGCGATTAATCGTTTGAAAGCATATATTATTTTTACTACATACACGACGATATTACTAATTTTACAAATTTACAGTCTTTACTACATTTCTGATCAAATAAATGCATGTAACATTAACAGTTCACATTTTATTTACAGTCAGATATGACCAATTGTAAATTACATGCGAGTCAATAACTGTTTCTTTTGTCTGTGACTCATATCAAGCGAGTCAGAATCAGTTGCACAGGAAACATACTACTGATTTAGCACCGTATGTGCATGTACATCATTGAAGGTTACGTACCTGTAACATGGCAGGAGATTCAGCCTCTGGTGTAGTAGGAGGCTCTTCCTTAATCTCGCTGCGTCCGCCAACTTCCCCTTTGGTGCCGATCCGTTCTAAAGCTTGCTCCCTCCGCTTTTCTCTTTTCTCCATACGAGCAAATGCCTGCAGAATTGCCTCCATCTTCCTCTCTTCACGTGTCTATATGAATGATAGACAGAAAGAAAGAAGGAAAGAAGACAACAGAGAAAGGTTGAGTCTATTTTCTGGCTGACAGTTGGGAACCCAGCTAGCTACTTAGCACAATCAGCAGGCCATAGCCAGCAGCAAAGGCGGGAAAAGAGAGAAATGGGACACTTCTCTTCTAGTCAAGAGGAAACATAATACACCCCCCCCCAGGGATGAGAGAAGGCATATATGTGTGTGAGAGTTTCTGTACTCTCTCTTGTCCTACCAAAAAGAAAGGCAACATATACCACACAAGGGTGTCTTGAGGTGCGCCATGTTGAGCGACTGAGGGTTGCATGCCTGGACTTCAGTCTCAGCATGGGGTCAGTGAGCACAGGACAGTGGGGTTAGTGTGTGGGTTCTCCTGTACAGTAACAGGCAGGGGGTGGGTTGGGTTGGGGGTCATTCAGGATATGAAGGCGTAGGTTTACCTCCTTGTTTCTCAGAGCTCTGCAGCAGGAAGCCCCTGCGCCGTGACGATGGGACTCCTCTGCCGGGCTGCCCTGAATGGTGCCGAAAGAGACAGCCATCAGGGTTTAAACACACAAAGGGCCTCCAGTTCGCTCACACCCCCATGCACACACTCATATGTATCAGCCTAGTCCTTGCTGTATGGGTAGTGTGGTTGGGGTTTAGAGCTTCAGTATGGGCATACCGTGTGATTAATGGACATACCCCTCTTTCACCGAAAAGGTGCTGGTCTTGACAATGCTCCAGTCTTGGAACAGAAATCACTAAACGCCTAAAAAAAGGGGGAACGATCATTTCTTCACCACATAACGTTCTTAACTAAACTGATGGGAAAAAGTGGTCTATATGGGGGGTGAGCTATTGAAACCAACTTTCCCCATCCATCTGAAATAAAATTGTTTTATTTACAGATATATCCGACGAAAGCATTTTCATGATTATTTCAGGATTTTTCTAATTGTTTGCGACAACTGCAATATTTTTTATTTAAACTACTATCTCACTGTCAAAAAGTATAAAGTACACAATATTACACATAAACTGGTAAATAAAGAAACCTGTAAAAAAAGCTTGTTTGAAGGTGCAGTGTGTAAATTTTAGCGACATCTAGTGGTGAGGTAGAGAACATAGAGAAGCTACGGTTGCCGACACAGGACAAAGATGTCGTCGTCTGAGACAGCAGAAAGTAGCCAGTCAAGCAATGAGGTAAATTAAGGGATTATATTTTCTTAATTATTCAGTGAACCAAATATTATTGTTACTTGTTCATCGAGTCAGTGTTTTATTCGCAATAACAACATAGTGACGAAACACGCTCTGTAGAGCAGATTGTCCATTTACGGCTACTGTAGAAACATGGCGGCGCAAAATATTGACTTCTATGTAAGGTGTATGTACACTGAAATTGCTCATTCTAAAGGTAATAAAAACATAATGGTTCATTACGTTAGGTCTTTATACACCTCTGAAAACATAGTTGTGTATATTATATTGCATTTCTGTCAATAGATCCTCCTAAATATTACACACTGCACTTTTAAGAGCATGTAGTAAGTATCGTTGTCATTTACTTCATTGATCAGCTTAAGTCAGTGAAACGGGGGCCAGTTCCAGGAGAGGTTCTCAAATCCCCAGACCAAGCACCAGTACCATTATGGTGGAAAAGGGGTGTTAGAGAACTCAACAAATATTGATAGGGAATCAGAACTGTTTCTGAATTGCCTGTTTGTCTTGTTGCAGCAGATAAAATGAGGAGAAAGCATGGGGAATTTCCACTAATAATGCACCAGAGTCTGATACCTCACTATTAGTTTATCCAGATAAAACCACATTGTTTACAGCTGCTGTTAGCTTTTTCTGTAGTTAAAGGCAAGTCATTTCAGGATTGGTTGTGAGTTTTATTTTCCTGAACATTCCAGCAGTCACTGCCAACTTCATGATGTTTGTTGAGGAAAGTTTTTGAAGTGCAATCGGTTCAGAACCTGTTTTTCATACATTTTTTCCATCTGCCTTTCATGGCAAGCAAACAAAAAAGCACCACACACAGTAATGGCCACACCAAAACATTCACATAAAACATGTACATTTTAAGTGAGAGAGTTACTACACTCTCTAAGGTTGATCTTAAGCTACTAAGTAACCAATAGCCAAAGCTATATCACAACCAGACAGCATTACTAGGATTAAAATCATCAAGTTTCGTTTTTCAAAACAATTCTATGTGAGGATCATTGCAACTTTACATGACCTTTTTTAATTAGTCAAGAGTTTGAATTTGTAATTTACACCCTAACATATTTTGAATATAAAAAGTAGCCCAGTTTTTGTTCAGGATTATTGAGTTTTGGTAGGAAGCGGTGTTGAATAGATGCCTGATTGGACGTGAATGGTCGTAATGTGCTTTAGAATGGAAATAGCTTTTAGACAGAGGACCATATATATAGTAGAATACCACCACATTGAGTCCCATGTTAATTAACGTGTAAATTAAAACACTGTGTAGTGCTATAGTAGGTTCTTTCATTTAAGCATGATCTCTCACTACTAACATGGTCTAGACATTTAGTCATGACAGAGGAGAGAAATGACTGCAGATGAAACACACAGTCCAGTTCTTAACATTCCCTCATGGAGAACCAAAGAGGCTCCATAAAAGATGAAGTATGAAAAAGAAAAACAAAGCAACAAGGATGAGTGCCCTTGCGCTACCCTTCAGGAGGTTAAACTACACAGCGACAGGAACAGAGAAGCTGTGGCGGCAGCAGCGAAATTAGCGGGAGGTTTATAGGGGGTGGAGGGGGAAGGAAGGAATGGTGGAGCATTCTGGGAGCTGCCCAAATCACCACACACACCGGGAGGCAGAACGAGGAGGGGAAAAAGAAGGGGGGTGGGGCAGTAGCGTTTCCATGGCGACCGTGATTGCCAAAGTGGTCGTTTTCCCCTGGACGCACTTACCATCTTCCTCCTCCTTTCTGCAATCTGCTCCTCTGACTCCATCTCTACTTCATTGCTAACGGAGGTTTTCTCTTCTAGATCCTCTATTAACTCAGGATCCTGCAAAAGGGGGAGAGGGCCTTTATCATCGCCTGGCTACAGACCAGGAGAGGAGCATTAGAGAGGGAGAGAAAGTGTGGGAAGTGTTGATTCGGGCTGAGATCTTGGGTCAGACAGACCAGATTGTACTTATGAGAATCAATCAATTCAACTACTAAAAAGATCAGAGCGGATTTCCTCTGTTCTAACTGTGCCAGAATTGCTGACAGCTCTTCCTGGGATGTCCTGATATATATGGCACCAGGATGGCAGGGAGTTACGAGCATGGATTCTCGCACACTTTCAAAGTGCGCCAAACAAGCAAGATTTAATATTCTGCCACCGGCCACCAATGAAATACGGGAACATATGAGCAAAATAATGCGGAAATATGTTTTCTGGTTATCAGACGCTGTAATTAGGGCCAGGAAGGAAATGTGGATGAGTAAACAGATTATTAGAATGACTGAAAATATCCAACGAAGAAAGAATCATGCATAGATTAATACACATGGATAATATTTACATGCAAACAAAGGGTTTTTTGACATTTATAGATGAAGGGACCGTCTTACCCAGACTCTCAGCCAACCCCGAATATTAGATTTTCGCTGTTAGTCATTGCAATAGCTTTCGTATAACCATTACTTAAATTATTTATCAGCATTAAACTACCTTTCATGGATGAAGACAGGTGTGTTTTCATTTTGTGAGATGAGATGGTACTTAAGTGGGTATGTGACAGCACTGTGTGTGTGTCGATCATACCTGATTGTTAGATATGGAGAGCCGGAGAGGAGAGAGTTTTCTCTGTTTGGCGTCATTGAGCGATTTGCCCGTGGGCCCATCACAGTCCATCGTGAGGTTCTGGTTCTGTCCGCTCTCATCCTGCGACGGTTCTTTGTCCTTGCGGCAGCGCCGTCGTGTGCTAGAGCCCAGATTCTCCGTGGGTTCCAAGTTATGCTTGAGCACAGGGCATTCCTGATTGCCTTTCACACACGCACAGTCCACCTTATATTTACTATCAAAGACAAGAAACAGGAAAAGTAGTGAGAAAAGTGTGAACAGTCAAGCTGTTCTTGTATAAACAATAAACGCGATTAATCGTATCCAAAATAAAAGTTTTTGTTTACATAATATGTGTGTGTATTGTGTATATTTATTATGTATATATAAATACACACACATACATGTAAATATTTAAGAAAAATATGTTGTTTATATATTAAATATATTTATTAGTGCTGTCAAACGATTAATCGCAATCAATCGCATTTTTAAAAAAAGTTTTTGTTTAGATAATATATGTATGTGTACTGTGTTTATTTATTATGTATATATAAATACACACACATACAGAATAGATTTTGAAAATATTTACATGTACATTTATATTATTATATTATATATATATTTAATATATTAAAATTTTCTTAAATATACATGCATATGTTTGTATTTACATACATAATAAATATACACAGTACAAACATATATATTATGTAAAGAAAAAGTTTTATTTTGGATTCGGTTAATCGCGATTAATCGTTTGGCAGCACTAATATTTATATATAATATAAATTATATGAATATAAATATATACATGTAAATATTTTCAAAATATATACCTGCATGTGTGTGTATTTATATATACATAATAAATATACACAGCACACACATATTCTGTAAACAAAAACGTTTATTTTGGATGGGATTAATCGCGATGAATCGTTTGACAGCACTAGAATAAACATTTCAGATGTCATTACATCAGTGATACTCAGCCCTAGTGCGTGTTCTTACCAGCTGCCGTAGTCATAATCAAAGCCAATGGTGATCTCACTCCCCTTGGAGATGGACCTCAGAGAGTAAATGTATAAATGCAGCATGCCGTCCTCGATTACGTGCCGCACCTCAGCGTTGGGAGTGCAGGAGCGCC